TTTTTACATTTACCAGCTAGTTTTAGACACCATCTGTGATACTCTAGATATTTTACAATCTTTCGATGACTGGTTATGTAACTACTTGAATATAATGTGTATGTCAACCTTTTCTCGTCACTGTATGGCTGAAATATTGCTGAGGTGACGTTAAATTTTAACTCACTCACTCCACCACAAGCGGATGAATACAATGCATAGTACACTGCTGGTTCAGCGATTATTTTATCAATCACCCTATAGTAAATAGGCCCTTAAGAGTGCGAGTTGGGTTTAACGCCGCTTCCAACAGTATATATCACGGCGTGTCATGATGGTATAATCCAAAGCGAAGCAGGTCTTAGACGTCAAACATCAAACCTTGAAACACAATCTGAGAGAACCGAGATTCCATCCTACAACGAAGCTTTCTGGCGTGTCGAAAGGCTGCACATCTCTACGGGGAATTGCTGCGCACTAGTGGATCCGACCAATAAGCCCAGAACAAATGGTAAAGTGTTTATCAGATGTGTTTTGGTTTTTGTCGTTTTGGTTTTTGTAACACAAAAAGTATCTTGTTAGAATTCAAAGATAAAACAAACTTTCAAATAGTTCATTTCATACCGTACTAACATTTGAACTGACTGAATCCATGAAATCGCCATTGGGAGATACACATGCAGTATGCCTATTGTGTGCAGTATGTTTGAACCAACTTCAAGAAGGCATTGTTCGTGTGTATTTTAGACTGTTTTGACCTTTAAGAAATCTTATTTAAGTATAATACAAGCTCAAATTGCTTTTATCGGACTAGGTTATATAGTTCCAGACCAGCGAGATCGACCGTTTTCATATCAATATATACAGGGAATGTTTTCACTTGCTACGGTTCGTGTAAGTCATATCAAGCTACAATCAATATGATAAATACACACTCATACACATATGACTGGAACATTGTTTTACTGAATTTCCTGTCTAAACTTTAAGATATATTACATGTTTGTTGAGGTTACGAAGTGCCGTGAGAGTGAGGCCATATGAAGAGACATGATACATGCATGGGTATTGAGCAGGGTTTGCTCACAAGTTAAATATTGGGTCACTTTCCTTCTTCATGATGTACAGAATTTTGACCATGTTAACATAATTCATAATTAACACCGGCATTAAAACAATTCTATTGATTTGAGAAGTGCATATTATAATCTTGAAAGAAGGGTCCTTCAGCTATAATATTTATCCTGAAATAAAATAAAATTAAATCTGCTTGTGCATCTTGCATGCTTTTAGTGATACGGAATTCAAAAGAAATTAGGTTAAAAACTGTCGTCTTGTTGAAGGCATGAAAATGTTTTAAATGTGCTTGTGTTTGTGTACAAGTGTTTTTTGTGTGGGTGTTTTCGTCGTTAACTCGACGTGTCAATTCTGTTTACAAATGGCTGTTTAATACATAAATACAATATAGCGACATGCTTGACAACGGTACAAGAATCTGTATCGAAACGTCGCACTCACGAATAAAAGAAGTTGTTATCCATAAAGTTTGGTCTATATTGTACTTCCCAACTTCTAAAATGCCACTCAAAGAAGTTAATATAAAAATAGATCCCAAAATAGTTCAAAGTTAATTTAAACCTACCACTATTTTTAATCGTAGCATATATGTTATTTTAATTTATGACTAGATTATCTAAAATTGCCAATAGCTGAAGGGAAGGTGTAAATCCATCTAGGGTCCATGCAGGAAGCAAATGTACTGTAAGTCCCCATGGTCCCTAGCATGGTGATCTACCTTCAGTTGCTGGCGATCTATAGCCTGTTTTTAGATTGTCTTGTCATTTATAGTTAAAGTATTTTAGATTTAATAACCAGTTTTAAATTTATTTCTGTGATTATTTAGTTGTTTTACTGTCCTTTGCAGACAGGTTAATTTATTTGCTAACATTATTTTGATTCATTTATATATGTACAACTTTCTTGGTCACGATATGGCTGAAATACTGCGGATGTGACTTTAAATATTAACTCACTCACTCACTCACATAAATAAAACACTATATTTATGTAAGTGTATACTTCTGTTTGATCATCGGATGCTATTTACATACTGTCGATTTATGTGTGAGATTGTTTTATTAATGGATGTATATGCATGATCGCTCAACCATGTATACTTACACAGGTGACATAATATACCCGAGAAATCGAGAAAGTAAAGTCCCACAGAAATAATTTCCCTTTTCGACACACCGAAATACTTCCCATACCTCATTTTACAACTATAATCATCACTATTGGTAATATTACTATCAGTATGTTTCAAAACTATTAACACAATATGTCCATAAACTATATTTAAAACATTTGTCGTCCTCGTACACATGTCAAAATATACCTTGGAATGTCAGCGTGCATGAAAATCTCTCCATGCTCCTGCATTGCTAACGTGAGCATTCAAATTATCTATTTGAAATCGTTTTTGACAAGAAGGACAAATGCACATCACATCATCATGCAATTCAACATTTCGTTTCAGAGCATATTATGCAACTGCACTGTATGCAATGTCAGGGAAAGCTCGAATCAGGTTGTTTCACCTTCTCTGTTAGTGGGCTTGTTGGGAGCAGTGACTGTGTACCGTGCAGGGACGTCGATATGGACATGTGGCATGCCACTTCCTGTAGGCACCTACTTCATCCTACTTTAAAAATATTTGAAATATGCCCATGTAGTCTTTTTTCGTAAACAGCAGTTACAGTGCCCCTGTTAGATATTGATCTGAGCATGTTCACGAAACCAGCCAAGCATGTATTTCATCCCTTCAGACATTTCTGTAAACTTCCCTGTTCACGATATTAGGCAAATTCTCGGAGACTCCCCTGTGACATTGCACAATGTCTTATTGTTGCAAAACGAGCCAGCTTGACCAGACCCAGTGCATCGACGGCTTTCGGCAGATGGAGGTTGTCGTTAGGCGTTCTCAATAATTATACAGTGGCATGTTTACGCCATTGTTGGCTGTCATATGCAGTATATTACAACAATCCATTGAAAGACAAGCAGGAAGCCATGACAATAAAGTCTTTATGCTTTACAAGAGAGAAGTGAGGTAAAACATTAAAGTCACATCGGCAATATATCAACCTTTACCTGACCATACCAGGTCATATGTTTATAAACGGTAAATACATGATAAGTCTGTCGACAAAGGACAGTAAAACAAGTTGGATATCACTGTTAGATATCACTATCACTATAGAGAACAATACCATATGAAACGGGCTAATGATCGCCAGCATCTGAAGCTAGGTCACCATACTATCAGCCGTTGGGACTTACAGTACATTTGCTTCCTGCATGGACCCTAGCTGGATTTACACCATCCCTTCAGATACTCACAAGGGAGGATGTAGTGGGAAACGGTTGCAATCAAGCCACATGGCTGAACAATATTTATCGACAGTTTGCAACTAATTAAACTCTAAAGCTGAGGCATAAAAAACAATTTATTTAAGTTCATGAAACGTTTTTTGCAACTATGAAATCCAGCAACTGAAACCCATGTAAACCACGAGCAGAAATGATGGCTGCATTGAATGACTGTCAAAACGTCCACCTGTGACGTCAGCGTGGATAATGAAGTCAACACTATGCAACACTCGCTGGCATATCCGTTTGTTGGTTGGTTGTTGTTTAACGCCGCACTCAGAAATATTCCAGCTATATGGCGGCGGTCTGTAAACAATCTAGTCTGAACGAGACAATCCAGCATGAGTATCGATCCACGCAACTGGAATACGATGACATGTGTCAATCTAGTCAGTGAGCTTGACCACACAATCCTTTCAGTCGCCTCTTACGTCAAGGATGGGTTGCCGAAGATCAATTCTAACCTGGATCTTCGTAAGCAGACGATTATTTTTTAACTACGTTTCTCTGTTGTCAAATGAAAATTATTTTTCACTCTCCCCAAAAAGAAACGGATAGGTATATGTTCACAAATTTAATCTGCTACCTTTAAAGTGAGATAACACATGTAATTCTGGATCATTTGCAGCATCCGTTCCCAAAACTACTCTGCACCGACATTGTGAAATTCTGGCCCATTCCTCTTGCAATGCCTGCAACAGTTGATCTAACGTCTGGGTGATTGTTGACGTTCACGTACGCGTCGGTCGAGGTCATCCCACAATGCTCGATGGGGCTGAGGTCGGGCTATTTCAAAGGCCATGGAAGCACTGTAATGTTCTCATTCTGAAGATACTGGTACTCTTGTGAAGTGCATGTTGACAGGCAGCGACAGATTGAGACTCCCCAGCCTCCGGACGTCCAATGGCAATGTTCCGATTTACAGCAGTGAGTAGCGGAATAACTATATTTTTTTCACTTAGCTTAAAAAATGCCAATAACCGTCCAGAAGCAAAACAAGTCTTAGCCAATGTTCCTGCACGCGTACGATTCCTCAGATCTGCTCCTTTTCTCCATGACATTTTCATGCAGTTGACACTTTCGAACGTAAACGTGCATTTAAGTTTCCGAAGATGCTTTTTAGCACTGTGCATTTCGTTTTGATGACGAAAATATAACATATCAAACACTAAGTTTGATAAATATTTGAAATTTATCATATCAATATCACCTATGCCTTTCTATTTGGGAGGGTATATACACAATATATGCAACTCAGCGACCATCCTACTGTTTCTTGGCGTTAGTATGGGTCCGACAAAAGGACGACATCAGATTCGAATCGTCCCATGGCGAAACAAGATGGATCATATTCGATTACGTGGACCTTGTTCTTTACTGCTCGTGCATGTCGATCATGATCACGCAGATGATGTAATGAAGATGGGCTGAAATAGTGTTCGGGAAAAGAATCTCTTACAAGGAGTGTCAAGTTTCTTCTCCTTCGCAACCCAATATTCGTTGTTGTCAAAAATAGATCGAAGGATGCTGTCATGCGTGTTCTTTTTGCTTTATTACACCGTCGTTTGCCATGCATTGTTCACAACTTCCTGGTACAGTGTACTTGCATCAGTATCCAGACCTGTTTATACCCAGGGTACGGTTGCCCGGAATGTAACACTGTCGTAGCAGAAGCACAGAAAACAGTTGTGATATTTCTTCTTGTCCCCGACAATATTTGGATGTATATCAAAAGCAAGATCGTAAGTATATTATACATTCGTGTATATATTTCTTTATCTGTGGATATGTGTATCTGCACTTTACAGATGTACGTAATAGAACCAACGAAAATAATTTAGAATCTTCACAAAATAACGCTAAAGTGACATTATGACCAAATATATCAGCCGGAATTGGTTTTAAGAAAGTTGGTGCATACAAAGGTGACCTCCTGATAAGTTACTTTCCCAGGTTTTATTTTTAAAAGGCGCTACTTGCACGTATGCAAAATGTGTTGTTTTGTTTTCACTGAAAGTAATGTCTTACTGGCCTCTGGGGTCTTTAAATGTCTTCTCGTCGGAAACCACACGACCAATTTTTTATCAATGAAGCTTCACATGCTTGTTCCCACCAATGACGACAGCTAAATTTGCCAAAGAATTTCCAGTCCGAATTATTAAAATAGTGTTCAGTATAAGTTCAAAACTCGCCTTTGTTTATGTATGTACATGTTGTTATTGAGTTTAGTTTTACGCCGCACTCAGCAATATTCCAGCCATATGACGGGTATGTACATGTAGTTAGTAATTTGGTTTACATGATGCATTCATGTAACATATGTTTCGTGTTTTGCGATTAACCTTAGTGTGACGACCATCACATGTTAATACTCTAAGTGTCCGGAGTTTACCCTGAGTGCCTGACAGGCTGACATTCCACATGGCTGTGTCTCCTAACGAAACCTCCTTTTGTTATTCAGCACTTAGAATGACATTTCACAAGTAATATATATTTCAGACGAAATAGACTTAGGAAGTTAAACCTTTGTCTAAAGGTTTTGAATGAACACCAAGACATTCTCCTATTTGTCAGAATGCATTGTGTTACACTTTCAATGTATTGCATAAAATTTTTAAGTTGTTGGCTGTTTATTACAGAAACAAAGTTGGCTTCTCATCAAATAAAAAAACGTAATTATCTTCTAACACTGTTTTCAGAAAGTATACTAACTGTGTATAACATAACAGCAAAGTGGAAGTTTATACAGCAAAGTGGAAGGAGAGTATTGAAATGTTTTAAGATCTGCTCCAGAAAGGAGCACTACCACCAAATTCAGTTGAAGCCTAATGACATCCTCATTGCCACAGCCTAAGTCATGTAATACAAAAATAAAATTCGCATCTGGGTCTAACGCCCAAAAGACACATCTAGGGATCATGGTTGACATGTGTACCTAGTTTGATTAAGCTATCACGAACAGTTTAGGAGATATGCTTCGGACAAAGTCTGACGGACGTACGGACGAACAGACGTACGTACGGACGTACGGACGGACGGAACTCGTTTCTATATCATAACATAACATAACATGACATAACATAATATGAATTCTGATGTCGCGTATCGGTCGTGACACGTGCACTTTGTGCACAATGAACTTACTCACGTTTTGCACGTCATGACACGGCTTACAGAATATCAGCGTCTCCGGGCCTTGGGTATGCTGGAGACTGGAATGGCCCAAAATGAAGTGGCCATACATTTTGGTGTCAATCGAAACATGATCTCATCTCTGTGGAGACGTTTTCAACATAATATGAACACGAGAGATTGGCCTCGAACCGGCGTTCATGCGGGATGTCACATCAGCAAGACAACAACATTCGGCTGACCCATCTAAGGAACCGATTCCAGGCTGTCAGTTTGACTGCTCGGACCATTCCTGGCTTACGTCCACAATCAGTTCCAGGACGATACGGACCCGACTGAGGGACAGCCTGCAAGACGTCCACTTCTGCTCCAACGTTAACGACAGGCACGTCTTGCCTGATGCACACAACATCTACGTTACAGAAGACAAGATTGAGATGGTGTTTTCTTCACTGTCGAGATTTGATCGGGACAGCTCAGATGGCAGGGCAAGGATGTACAAACGACGAGGTAAACAGTATGCTGATGCGTGCATTGTTCAACGTTGTTCGGTTTGGTTGCGATTGCGTAATAGTATGGGGGAACATCACATCTCATGATCGGACACAACTTGTCATTGTCAATGGCAATCTGACAGGTCAGGTCTGCGAAACAGGGATGAGATCATTGGACCTCATGTGCAGCCGTTCATTCAAGGTCAGAGACGTAAATTCACGTTTCAGCAAGATAATGCCCGACCACTCCGGTACTCCCTTGTCCAGCAGTTTCTCTGGACCTGTCCCTTATCGAGCACGCTTGGGGTGAAATGGAGCCCGGAATCAGCCATTGACGTTAGATGAATTTAGAGAAGCGTTGGTTCACACAATGAACAGCATTCCCCAAGCTGACTTCAATCGTATAGGGTCGTCTATGCGTCGTCATCTCCCGGTTTCATGAGCACTCTTCGAGTTTTGGAAACCATTAATGTGTTACACAATACAATTTGAAAACAAGGGTTAGGTCGTACGGGGTGGGTGTGGGGTGTGGGGGGGGGGGGGTTAATGTTTAAGACTACTTTCCAGTCCAGCTGTCTGGCGACGATGTATAATTAGTCGTGACTAGACCAAACAATCCAGTAATCCACATTATCAGCATCGACCTACGCAATTGGCTTACGATGTCATTTGTCAACCAAGTCAGCGAGTCTGACCACCTGAACTCGATAGTCGACTCTTACGACAAGCATGAGTTGCTGAAGACCAATTTTAACCCGGATCTTCACGGGTCTCTTTTTGAGAGTATTTGTCCTGACTTACCCCGGCTTATGGTGCAAGGCCGCTCTGATGCATGTTACAGTTTAGCTTGACAGAACCGATCAGTTATTGGTTATGCACCAATTGCAGAGCTCTAGACATGGTAACAAAGTATCCAGTCTACCACCTTTTGACTGACCGTGGCTCCCTCTGCTTGAAAGTAACTCCCAGCGTCTGAAAGAGATAAAAGTCATATGATAACCCAGGGATGTCCTAATAAGTATAATTGTCCATTTACTCAAATTGCAACAAAATTCTGAGGCTCCCAGTTGGATCACTACGGTTCAATAATCACCTTCCTTGTACTGTTGTAGTGTTCGGCAGTATATATATTAGTGTTTCTCACATGTAAGGGAAGGACTGCGGTGATACGTTCTTGTCATCCTTCAGTGAACATCGACAGAAAGGAAGGATGGTGTCTGTACAATGCTGTATGGTGTTCTGGTTCTGTACACTTGCTACGTGGAATCTCAGTACAGGATTGGAAGCAAATGGGTAAGAAAGTATTTCTGTTTTATCACTTAGCCGGTCAAAATATATCCACTGGTATTCTCTGAAAAAAGATCAAACCTTAATATCGTTTTTCAAAAATTAAAGATATTCTCTAAGCTATCTGATTTTTTCTGTGTACTGTAAACATGCACCTGTTGACAGTGAGATATACTGATCTTTAGTCAGCTGAAAAAAGGCCCTTTATTATTGATATTTACTCATTATGTGATTGTTATGAGCAAAGTTTTCATATTGAGCTACATGCTAATTGACTAATTTATTAAGCTTGACATGGGAACGGTCTGTATGATCTGGTTTGAAATCATAGAAATCTTACGAGATTTAGCTAATGGTGGTCTCAAACACCTTAAACACGCTGCACCTTCCTCCATGTTTTCCAGTATTGTATCATTTAAAATATCTGCTTTTAACTCTAACGCAGACTGCACTACTTGGAAAGTATTTGTGTAACTAAAATGTGTCTATTTTCTACACACAAGTGGTCCATTATTTCATCAGCTCAAGGGTTTCATGTACAATACTTGTTTTCCAGACTTTCTGACTCTAGATTACTGGAATGTTACCTTGTACATTTTTTTTTTGCTGTGAAGATGTTAATCAGTTTACTTCTACAGTCCTCTGTAACAATAATATGTATTCTCGAAATGACACTGTTTGTTCCGAGAGTGTAGTATCTTTAAAGATTTTGGCGAGAGAACATATGTCAAGTAATACCAAGGATAACAAATTGTCTTATAGCATAACATATCATTTCAATTGGGAAATCAGTTCTTCGAAGTCAGTCATTCTAATTGGTCAGTCATGTTACATGACGGAGATTAGTTAGATTTTTATTTTATGTTCAGGAAGCCCATCGAATATAACACTGCCCGTGAGTGAGTGGTCATAAGATATGTTCAATATGTTCACAAGCATAGACTTAGATTATATAAAGCCGTTTGCATCTCAGGTAACAAGACGTAACACGCCATTAAAGTAAGGACAACTGATATTACCTCAAAATAGTGTAACATGACAATACCTTGTATCGTCGGGAAACTCATTCTTATTGCAAATGGCGGCTCTTGGAAAAGAACATTACAGGTAATGTCTTTTCAATTACCTGTTTGTGAACATTTAATAAAGATATTGGACCTATCAGGCTATCATAGCATTATGGCTGATATATTTTGTAATCTGATAAGAAACATACTGGTTTTAGTATCAAACTGGAAGTACACCATTGACTGTGTGTTGGCAGAAATTTAAGATGACACTCTCGAGCTAAATCTCCTCGAAAACAGATATGTCACCATACCTTATGATGATTAGTGATTATATTTAAGGTACAAAATCCCGTAAATATATGCCATCTGACTTCACAAATGGTTTAAGTGTGGTTGGGCTTTGAATAATAAACCCGTTATGGTATGTGCCCGGGATGTTCAGTGCATGAAGTAGAGTGGGGTGAGGTGGGGTGGGGTGAGGTGGTGATGCTTTAGCTGATGAAAACAGTCTCCGATCTATTCTAATTGTGGGTTAGGTATAATATATTTCACATGGGCACTTGCGTGAAAACAACGAGAGGTGTGCCACAGTTCACAGTTTGAATGTGCAGGGCGTGAACTGAATTAATGCTGACAATGACAACAATACATATGTTCAACTTTTTGGGCTTGTGTGTTTCTTTTTTGTTGAAAGGTTTATATTAAAGGGCAGGTAAACTCAACCCAGAAGCTTTGTAGATCTTAATACTTTTTTGGACAAACTTAATCACAAATTGAGATAAAAACGGGAAGGCAAAATCGTACCCCCAAACGACAAATATCCGAATTACCCTTCCATGGATTAAACGGGTTCTGGGTTTTGCATAATTTGGGCTATAAAAGGAATTACAGAGAGGAAACAGTATTCCACTGTGACAAGTTCACGGTGGTATATATTTCCAATTCTAAGAGGGGTGTTCACTTTCGTACGTGTTCGTAAATAAGACACTGGAAATGAGTCCCCAGTAATTGGATGTTGTTCACATGCATGGATAGTTGTAGGCATTTCTCAGTAAAGATGCGTTTGAATGCATGTGTGGGGTGAAGAAAAAATGCTATCTCCAAGTCTTACTTTCCTTTCAGTGTAAACGTAGAGGCGTATACAACTTACAGGTCATCACGTTACACAACGAAGTGTGGGTTTTGGAAGTGGGGCCGGTGCACAAGATACAGGTAAAAAGTTCTGTACTTAAAAACATTGGTTATCATTCATAATGTTCTTTTTTGAATATATACATCTTCCTGATTGGACTAATCTCCCTGTTAATGGCTTTTGAGCGATGATTTAGTTATGTTCTGATGACATTTTCTGAAGGTCAGGGCATCACCGTTGACCTCTATGACAAACGGAAATCCCCTTTCAGATCTGTAGTGACCAATCATAATCGATGCCCGCAATACCTCCGAATATTAAAGGAAATTGAAAAAATCCATTTATACGCATGCAAAAATTTCCTCGGAGTTAAAATTAACACTGTTAACGCAGTGATTAATGGTGAATGCGGTAGGTACCCAATGCACATTCCTACAAGCATTAAAGTTATTAAGTACTGGCTAAAACTGTTGATTATGCCTTCAAATCGCTTACCCAAGAAGTGTTATAATATGATGTTGTTATATGATAAAGGTGGACAAAAAAACTTGGCAACCAATGTAAAAAACTTTTTATATTCTATTGGTTTGGGAATTACATGGAAAACACAATATGTCGAATCACCTACGTTATTCATACAATCCTTAACGACAAAACTAAAATATACGTATATTCAAACATGATGTGAAAGGATATCCTTATCAAATAAATGCATGTATTATTCATTGTTTAAAAATGCCATAGTCCTTGAGTCATATCTATCCTGTGTTAATGTTAAAAAGTTTAGAATAGCACTGGCACGATTCAGATGCTCTTCTCATGATTTGTTGATTGAAAGAGGCAGATATATTAATGTAAAAAGAGAAAATAGAATATGTACACTTTGTAATGGAAGATGAATTTCATTTTCTCCTAATGTCCATTTTTTGACAGGTTGCGAACAAAATATATTAAAAGATATTACTATGTCCATCCAAATGTGATAAAATTCTCCTCACTGTTAAGTAGTAAAAATCCAGTTCTTCTTCAAAATATTTCAATGTTCATTTACTATGCTATGATTACCCGATCTAAATTCCTCTCAAATGTAACATAACTTTATGTACTATAGGCCTGTGGCCTTCTCAGTGCAAATAAAGATTATTATCATATTATTAAAGGATACATGATATAAATATTGTTACGAAGTTGCACATTCCTGTGTTGACAATATTTGAAGGCATCGTAAGAGAACACGTTTTCTGCTACCAGGCAGAGGCCGGTCACAAATTACAGATGCAAATCAGGGTACAGATCAACAGATAACAAAGGCTGCCCATATCGTAAGTGAATTGTGCTACTTGGACTGAGGGACGTCTGGCCTCTCTACAATTGTTGTCATAATGATCTGATCATCTGTATACCTTGATATGTATAATATAAGGTTGGACGGGTCGTGGAATGTATTCTGGTAGAACTGTTGATTCTAAACTTGATTGTCATACACAAACATGTTTTTGTAAGGCTCACTAATGCATGCAAACATGCTTTCTTTCTTTTAATCCCATCTAGGCAAATAGTACAACATACCTCAGAATTCTCATGATTTGAAATTGATCGTTTCAGTCACATACTGTAACAATTAAACACCATTTAAACATTGCAGCTGTATGTGACGATCTGATCAACCCCGCTGCTTGCAACATCGACTACAGGGCATCTCACATCGTCAACAGTGACGGCAGGACACAGTACAAGAGTGGGGGCAGCTGTACCTCCCCTGGGACCTGTGACAACTGTAATGAAGGCTTTTACCCCACCAATGAACGCTGCAGAAGTACGTGCATTAAGGCTCAGTCGATTCATTCATATCGGGGACGTGTATGTGCCGCCATTCGTGTCGCGGAGTTACTTCCCTTTGGTATGCTATAAACCTACACATGCGGGTTTGAATCCCCGATTTTGTTTCTTGTGCTATCAGCGCCATACTCGTGGTTTGTACTAATATCGTAAACGCCATTTATATCTTTTTTCCTCACAGTAAGCTTGCATGACTGGAAATGAGGTGTTGAGCACAGTTGGCTCACTTGTAAAAGCTTTTGTGACCATGATATATTTCTCCGTTATCTGCGTTCCAAGCTCAAAATTCACGTTGTCACATATTACCATTGCCAGTGTGCAGCGCCATCAGTAACTGTGATCTGGAGACATGCACCAGCAGCAGCAACCAGGTGTGTAGTCGCTGTGAGGGGGTCTTGCTGGACCAGGCAGGACACAGGGCATATGTGGCTTCTTCTGATAGGAGATCATGCATACGTAAGTTGCCATTGGTGAATTACGAGTCAACAATATATCCCAAGTTACACAAATGCATGTTGTTAGGTTCCTACTGATATAATCACAGTTCATCGAGTTATGAATAAAACAACATACAAGCAAACCCTCAGAATTTTCAATCTAAACATATTACTTCTTCTATTCCCTGGTCTTTTATTACTGAAATGGGTTTTATTGATCCATCTATTTGTATGGTATCATTCGATTCTATCTCTGGATATGTCAAATAAAACAAAATCGTTTTTAGTCAAAAGCCAGGAAGTGGACATCGGTTTCATGTATATTGTTTCTTATTACAACAGATCATGTCGAAGTAAGACTGACTGACTGACTGAGTTTGCTTTTACGCCGCTTTTAGCAATATTCCAGCAACATCACGGCGGGGGACACCAGAAATTGGCTTCACACATTGTACCCATGTGGGGATTCGAACCCGGGTCTTCGGTGTGAAGAGCCAACGCTTTAACCACTAGGATACCCCACCGCCCCTGTCGAAATAAGAATATGCCATGCCGTCAACGAACAATACAGATTTAAATACTTAACCGACCATGCTGTAAAGCCAGATCCCACATTTGTGTCTACAGAGGCGTGTTCGTGGCGGAGTGACAGCACCCGGTGTTATCCCGGAACCTGCAGGAACGAGTACGCCAGTAACTGTGTCTGCTCCAGCGGCTTCACAGGGAATCATTGTCAGACAAGTGAGTTGACGCTACCTGGGAATACAAGTAGCAAACAACAAACACTTAAAGCTTCTTTTTCGTTTGCAAGGTGTAAATGACAGGTGCTGCCAGTAGCGCCAGGCATGCTTACCTTTTTCTCGAAGACCTTGTGCCATCATTGATTTTCGGTGATTCATTCATTATATACTTTTCAGCGCTATATGTTGCTTCAGGATTCTTTGAATCTGTTTCTATGGATGATCGGCATTGGCCTTTCACTGGCGTTGATTTTCCATATTTAAGTAGTTCCAATCGTTTGGCGAAATCAAATGGACACCGTATGAATAGAAACCTTTGACCTGGAAATGTCAACGAAATTGTAAATCTTTTGTACTGTCGTTTATCGTATTTGTTCGTCTATTTTGTACATTCGTTTTTGTTTATACGATACAAGTATGTTACAGTAACAACGAAGCCCACAATACACCTCAACCTCCTTAGACTGACCGCCAGCAACGGTGACACGGCAGAGGCACCTCCCAACATCAACAGTGGTCCATCTCAGTCCACCAGCTGGTCAAACATCAACTCTCCATCCAGAATGTACTATAAGTTTACGGCTGAGTACAAAATGGTACCTCCATCCAGACATGCCTTCATTGAAGACTTCCGTGTGGGAATTGTCAGTGGTTCTGCTACATTCAAACTAAAGAGAGGTATGTCGGATATCAGAGGGCACAGTATGCATAATGTGACATTTTGCTGCATACGTTCGAAGTTGGAACGTATACCTAACGTGTCAGGTATTATATTATACAGTTAATCTGGCTTTACAACGGTATATACGGTGGTGAATTCATAATCAAATACCCTTTCCACATTCAAGTCGACTGTTCAATTCCGACTATATCACGAGCATGCGTTTATGTATCACCATCAAACAGCGATAAAATGATGTGTCGGCGAGAACATAACCTGAATCACCTAACTGATCAACTCGTGCTTCTTGTTTCATCATTATCTGAAAACATTGTTCACTCAGCTGACTGTGTTGTTGTACCAAGGTGCAGGTGTTGTCTCCACTAAGGTCTATAACTGTGGAGGAGCCAGCCGAAGCAGCCCGGACACAGACCTGTACACCTGTGAAGGAAACCCACCAGGGACGTCTGTACTATCTCTGCCCTTCCAACACAGAGATGTGTGAGTAGTGGGGAGGGGCTAGCTACGATACAGACACAGTGCGTTATTTTGAATGTTTTCATCTTTCAGCTGGGAATCTGAATGTCAGATATAAACGAAATAAAACCAAAAATATGAATAGTCCAAACGAATAATTGTATATATAAGTCTACTATCAATATGATCATATGTACACTCGGTATGTTGACAAGTTAAGTGGCCACTGCTGTGTACAGTGTAAGTTAGTCAACAGAACGTTGATGAACTACAGTGCAACTGTTTCTCAATTGATATAATTTTCACCATTTGTAGAATTCTGTAAATATTTTGACATGATTGTTTTCAGTATGGAATTCACTTATTCAACAAGTAATGGAGGGTATGTGAAGGTCCGGAACAAGGAGAGTAACACACTAGCGACCTACTACTACAACGGTGCCACACAGACCCACACCTTTAATGTGTCCATAGACCTGGTGGATCCCTATCACTGTACTGGTACTGCTGCCTGTGATGGCAGCATGCTGACTGTTCCCGATGTTATCAAGACTGTAAGTATATGACCATAGCTATATTTCACACCCGATGTTGATGGTAGACAGGGAGAATGAATCTGTTACTTGTTTCAGCCCACAGTGAACTTCCGCTGGAGTGGCTGGTCAGATACTGATGCAGGAGTCGACTACTTTGTCAAGGACGTGTATGAACTCCACGCTGTTGGGGATGTACTCAGGGATAAACGTCGTGTTAAGACTACAACGTTGACAAGCTCAACGGTGAGGAATTGTGGTTTCAATATTTACATGAATACAAATCATGGTTGATCATTTGCAGTCTCGTGAATATAGTAAGCGCTATGTGAATGCATGCGCGTGTGCACGTGTGTGTGTGTGTGTGTGTGTGTATACATGTGCTTACGCACGTGTGTGTGTTACCTTCACAAATAAGTAGTAAAAATAAGTACTACTACTTGATCCAGCTACAAAACATCTGAACTGACACGAACATGACACTTGAACTGACAAGGACATTAATTCCATTGACAATCGATCTGTCACGGTGTGTGGTCAAGTGTTCAGTTTACAGATGTATGTATTTTTTCTACATGTTTCAGACGTCCAACAGCTACACACTGACTACGGCGGGCGTGTATTCTGTCGTCCTAACTGCCTATGACAAGGGAGGTAATCACAGAAGTACAAGAAGAATCCTGATATATGATGGTACTTCGACTGTAACAACACGAGCAAATACATCTCTCCGTGTGACAACAGCATCATCAGCAACATCAGAGTGGCAATCTACGTCATCATCAGTGACAGTAGACTGGACCAACAGATACATCAACACAGTCCACCACAACAACAAGTGGCTCCATGGCGTGGCTTCTGTTGGTGACATCAGCTCGGACTATGACGATAAGGAGGGTGACAGAAGTGTGGGTGCCATCAACAATGTTCAAGGTTGGCACAATTTGCAAGCTTGTTTAAATAGAACATATACATGTTCTGGAATCTAATATATAATGACACATTTATCACAAGAAAACAACAATCCATCATTGGTGTATACACACTTATTCAACGAAGCAACTAATAATGGCCATATAGAAGCATTCATAATCGTTTTGTTTGTTAACTTTTAACCCTGAAATCCCAAGCATCTCCCTCTTCTGATAAATGAGTATGGTCATGTATATTCAACAGGTGTAACACAATTCTTGTCGTCATACAAAGTCGACCACCAAGGAGGGTCGTCCATCACCAGTCCACCAGCTGATAACCTGTTCACCAGTCAAGGTCTGAGTCAGTCACAGACCATAACACCCTCACTAGTGGACGGGGACACTGTACGCTTCTGGATACGAGCCTATGACATCAGACGGGAATTCCTTGAAGAACATGTGACAGTCCACATCGACACATCACCCCCAGTCATAGAGAACCTTTGGCTAACCAGGGGAGACCGACTCAACATCAGTGTACATGGAGCAGAGGAGTTTTCCGAAATGACGCAAGTCCTTGTTTTAATATGGCGTTAATTAATTAATTATTATAATTCAGCAGCATTATTGTTAGTTCATTTCTAGATTAACTTTAAGAATTTGGATAAATAAATATTTTGACTAAGTAAATAAACATATCATGAGATGTATTTTCCCCTCCGTCCAACTTTACCTAAGTACTTCCGAAATGACGCAAGTCTTTTGTTTGCTTATGGTATTCATTAATAGATAATTATACAGAAATAGTATTATTTTTGGTTCGTTTTTAGATTCCCTTTGACAAACATTAGAGACTTATATCGGGGACATGACCTGTATTTTGGCCTTCGTCCAACTTTACCAGAGTACTACTCAAAACAGTGGACTACCTTGATCACGATAAAATATCTCCGAAACAACGGTCTGATGTGATGAATTAAATCAAACTTTGTTATGCAATTTCAGAATGGAGTGGATTGCATACGATGAGCACAGTGGCTTGGAGACGGTGTCATGGCGTATTGTAGATAAATACCGGGGTTTAGACATCGTGCATGGAGTTCAGCACATCACGGCTCAAGGGAACACAAGTGTAAGTAGTTTTCAGTACACACACCTATGTATGCCATAGTTGCACTTCTTGCGGTAATGGAACATGCGCTTTACTCCATCACTTCTCTTTGTTAAACACACTTTATCACATATTTGACAATGGGGTTGGTCAGACACCATCAATAATATTAATGACAATATGTCTCAAAAGCTAACTGTATTGTTACAAATATGTGGTATGTAAATAACACAGAGTATTGCTGACTGCAAGAGCGCCTACACTGATGCCCCAAGGGGAGCTAACTGTTACTGCACGCCAGCCAAAGTTTGCTACCATCGTCACTTCCAAGTAAAGCCCATCGTAGTAGACAGTAGTCTCCCACATGGTGGAATATTCAGCAACAAAGCAGGGGATCACGACTCTGACTACTATTATCTAGAGGTCAATGTGACAAACCACGCCAGCTTAAAACAAAGATGGAGTTTAAAGTAAGTCAAACTTTTCGTATGATTGATGGAAATCGCTTCTATGCGTTCAATACAAGTATATATGATTTCCCTGTTGATCAATATACATGATCTGTTTTCTAACATGCTGTTCCACGACCTTGTCCAGGTTACAGTTGATACAAGCCCCTCATCCTGGCGTTGTTAAGGATGGTCAGATAGGGAACCCGGAAGTGGACTACCAGCAACATCTCCAACTCTCCAGCCAATGGGGGCGGATTTTTTGACAAAGAGCAGAGCGGAGTCACCCTTTACCAATATAAATTTGGGCCTCATCACTGTCTGCAAATGAATTTGGAGTTAATAAATCTTCATTTGAGGTAAATATAGAACGTCAGCGTTTAAGAATACACAGTTTTGACTATCCTTGAAACAAATTCTGTTTGCTGTAAAGGGGAAAACGGGCTGTGTGAGTCATGTGAATGGATCACTGAAAACCAGTGATGACACCATGTTCATGCCAAAAGGCTAAGCATCTCCTGCCCTACAAGTATCATACTCCATTCACAACAGTTGCCTAAAACTGGAAGTATTTTCGCAGTACCCCTGCCATGCGGCGACTACCTGAAAACAAACCAGACAATCATGTGATTGATGAATTAGAAAATGTGGTGAATGTAGATAATATGGAAGTAACATGTGTGCGTGCATGGGTGGGGCGTGCATGCTCGCGTGTGTGTGTGTGTTTCTGTACTGGAGATAAGATGAAATGATGTTGTTTTTCTCTTGTAAAAATCACACAAATCTGTCTAAATATTTCGGATCATTCACTCATCACATGTAGGTCACGAAAACCTATTCCACATCCGCCTCCTGGACAGCGCCCTCTGTCGGCAAGTATCACGTGACAGTGGTGGCCTTCAACCGAGCACTGGGAGCATCTGACCCAGTGTGTTCTGACGGAGTGACTGTAGACACAACACCACCCAGTGTCAGTGAGGTGGCAGTGAGAGACTCTAGGGTGATGGAGGGGCTGGTCAAGTCATCAGATAATGTTGTGTGGTTCATCGACGCCCACAGGAGACGTACCCTGGTGGTCAATCCAGATGGCAGTTGCAGGTACAACAGTTTAATGAAAAGTGTATGCGTTTTTTTTGTATTTTTCTTCTAATTCTGTGATACGTGACTGTCCAGTGTGATGGTCATACTTCCAGTATCATTGAAAGTACTTAATTTTATTTCTCATTTTCACATAATACCACGATAGATGAAATCCGGTTGGAGGTTTAAAAACGTAATTGTAATTTTGCCTGAAGAATTAGCAATAAACATCAATGCTGCTGATACCAGGAGGATAACAACTGGATATGCAACAGGTGACTGTTGGACCATATTAAAAATTAGCATTGTGTCTGATTGAATAGTTTCTGACATTATTCTGGATTTATGTTCGGGGCTGTTGTCATCGGTAATTTACATTGTCTTATTTGGAAGAAGGAACATTGTCGTCTTTCTAATTCTTGAAACGACAATTTGTCCTGAATGATTTGAGTTTTGATTTTACATCTGAACTCAAGGCTATGCACATGTTCTTATAAAAGAATCCTACTTTCCCCCGATATGAACGCAATTTCACGATGTGATCGTCGACGTCATGATTAGCCGACTTTGGATCATGCCCACAGCCAGTTCAAGTTTGTCTCATCAAATTCAACATCAAATTCGATGCCACCTATCTGTAATTAAATAGTCATTTGGTAACGAGGATAACTCTAAACCTATTTATCTTTAAACAGTGTCCTCATTATAAGTAATCAGTAACTCACAAGCAACATTAATATCGTTTACAATACTCCAGTATACAGTATACAGTATACAGTTAGCCATCACACAGATACATCATGTAACTGTCTCCAGTTCCAAGGCCACGCCAGTAGATGACCAGAGAATGTCCCTGTTTCCAATACATCGATACAACAATGGAAGTGGGATGCAACTTGGGATCAATCCTGAGTGTAAATCTTTACTAGCATTGCCTGTCAGCTTCACCAACTTACTCTATGTCTACAGGGAACACCACGTGAGTACCTTATCTAATGAAGATCGCAATGAAGTACCAACATGCACACCCTTTGTGTATATTTTAATACTCATTATTTGTGAAACTTAACAATGTTTTCTCCAGCTTATCATATCAGTATTTGATTATTTGTGTACAGTAACAACGTTTTTATCCGTATCTCAGTTCAGTTTTTGATCATGTGTCGTCTATTTATAAACTGTACACTGCTTTCAGTAAAGTGTTTGATTGTTTCCCAGCTCTTCGTAAACTGGACTGGCAGTGACTCTGAGAGTGGTATCTATGACTACGAGCTGGGGCTGATGTCAGATCCTTCTGGTGAAGCAGCTCCAGATGTCCTGCCCTACACGTCCACTCATCATCATCCTCAGTATCAGGGCTACCATCCTCGTCTCAGTGAGGGGCAACAGTTCTACATCGCCATCAAGGCCATCAACAAAGCTGGCATCTCAACTGTCAGAGTAAGGGCACACAAGAGAATCATTTATGTTTCATGTTGTATGTTTATGAAATATGTATCAATTTCTTTGGACTGATGACTCTTTGCGTAAACACACGTATTTGAACGAAATGACCAGATATAACTGTTTTCATTAAAGGTTGTTGGACCTGTCACCGTGTATACACGATACCCTGCATTTACTGGATCAGTGACAGTGACGCTGAGACACAACTATTTGATTGCACGTTGGCCAGAGACAGCATTCACAGACACTGGGTATCTAAAATATGAAGCTGCAGTAGGTATGTGCAGTCGTTATCGCTCTAATATCCTTCATCTTATTTCAAACGCCTATGAAACTGCCATTGCACTTACATTATGTTCGTCAGGAACTAAGGACGGCAAGTCGACAATAATCCCCTTCACGACGTTGCAGTCAGGAGGAGGTTGTACACTGACGTCGCCACCCACGTGTACAGCTGTTGCCCTCACAGACCTCCACTGGGACCTCCATCACAGCCACACCTACTTTGTGTCAGTCAGAGTCACAAACATAGTTGGACTGTCTACAGTGGCAGTGTCTGAACCCTACGTCCATACCGTCATGCCGCCTTTACGTGGTGTAGTAGAAGACGTTATTCCAGCTGGAGAAGAATCCTTGTTCACAATACCGGTGTGTGTATCTTTAATGTTATTAATCACGTATTCGGCAAACGAACGCGAATGTGTGTTTGAATATCATATCACGAAACAAACAGGTTCACACAATTTTATGCTAGTGATTTATATAATCTGTATTTTACATGATATGCATGATTCGATCACGTTTATAATATTTCAAACACTCTTCAGCTTTCTTTTTATCGATAGTGGATAGTTCTGTCATCACGTATTAAGTCAGTAACTATAGTCTTCGAGACGTATTGTCATAAATGTCGTGATTAGTAGGACACTTCATTGCTTATACAACCTGTTATTGTTTCGTGAGTTTCTGGTAATAAAGATAGTGTTATGCTGACGTGTAAAGAAAGGGATATAGCCTTTGACTATTTTGAGATCATTATTTTAGTTCTTGTATCCCATAAGTACAACTCTTGTCATGTTCAACTGGATACATTTTGCTTTCGAATCTTCTGCTATTTATACAACAAATGTTTTCTTTCTGTTTGCATTATTTATATCTATATGTTTGTAGATCATTCATTACCTCATGAACTCATGTACTACAATACAGTGGAAACCGCCTAAGTAAAGACCGCTTAACTAAACAGACCTGATAAGTAAACACTTTTCTTTGGTCCCGGCAAATTTCTTCATTAATTATCACTATTAGACTCTGGTTAACTAAACTCGGATAAGTAAACAATACCGCTAAACTAAACGTCTTCTCACAGTCCCTGGAAGTAAATTACTTAACAAAAGAGACTGGATAACTTAATTAGTGATTACCACATAATCCGACATGAGGGGCACGTGTCAGTCTCCAGTTAAACAAACATCCTACTTACAGCTCGCTGGGGTCATGCAGTTGACAATACACTGATAACTGGAGGCCAGCCCTGATAAGTGGTCCACTGCTACATATGCATACATATACATGCATATGGTTGTCATTTGCAGGTTTTTATCAGTTTGGATAAGTAAAATACCTGATAAGTAAACAATTTTGGCGAGTCCCTTGAAATTTTACTTATCAGGTTTCCACTGTATTCTCCTACGGGTGATACTATGCGTGCGTACCCGTGAAGGTTCGGGTTAGAATGAGCCTTCAGTAACCCATGCTTGTCATAAAAGGCGACAAACGGGATCGGGTGGTCAGGCTCGCTGTCTTGGTTGACACATGTCATCGATTCCCAATTGCGTAGATCGATGCTCATGCTGTTGATCACTGGATTGTCTGGTCCAGACTCGATTATTTACAGACCGCCGTCATATAGCTGGGATGTTGCTAAGCGCGGCGTAAAACTATACTCACTCACTCACTTACTATGCGTTCGTGGTGTTCTAACCAGGTCAGGTCAATCAAAGCTAATTTCGAAAATGGCCCAACATTATTAATGTTTGTTTTATATACTCGACAAACACATCGTCCCTGTAGCATGTGAGATGACCATGGAAGACATAAATATGTCTGTATACTTTCAGCGTACTGATGACACAGACTACCAAATATCAACACGAACATTAACAGCGAGATGGTATGGATTTGACAATGGAATAACTGCCATTACGTACACGGTTGGAATTGGGTCTCAGCCATTTACAACAGATTTTCAGGCGCATGTCTATGTTGGAAGTGCAACCTTACATTCTTTCACTGGTTTGAGCCTGCATTGGAAAACGGTTGGTAAACTGATGTTGATTGAAACACTTGCAAACTATGAATTTGTTCTGTTGTTTACAGGATTGTATATGTACAATGACGTGGCGCCTCTGTCTAATTTCAGAAGTATTTTGTGACTGTCATGGCTGCTACCGATGGCGGTGGAGACGTGACGGTGTCCTCTGACGGTGTGACGATCATCAGGCCCAATGTTGACATCACAGATGTCATTGTCAGAGATGGCCTAGGATGCAGTGATTATGGTATTTGTTGTAGTTGTCATGGATGACGAAAAATTGCATTAAAATGTTGCATATACTTTATGATTATAATGATTCTGAAATATATGATTTCAGATTTTGCAACTCAAATGTTTTAACCTTAACCGTATGATAAGGACTAGTTTCAAATTGTCCGACATGATAAAAATTTAACACGTAATTCTATAATTCTGCAAGTCTGACAGTTTCTATGGGAAATGATAAAAGACATGGCTTTTCAGCACAAAACACTATTGAACGAACGAATGTTTTATAATTAGAAATATTAGTTTCAGAAGCTCTGTTGTTTATTTTGATACACTTTAAAAATGATAAAACCGCAGGATTCTTATTAGGCTTACTGAACTAATGTGAACTAAAATCTACTAGAAAGTCAATTCATGCTCTTAGTTGTGAGTGAATTGAGTTTTCGACGAAATTTGATTTTAGTGAATGGTGGTCTCCGAAGTGCAGTAAACCAGACGGTGAGTGAGATATTACGTAACTGGATTTAGTAGGCTGTTGTGCATGTGATCAAGGTATAGCCTTGCACATATTAGCCGTTTACCTGGATATTTTGTGCATACGTTTCGCAACATGCACGTCACAACGCCGTCACAGTCTATGTCGCCGGGTTAGGTAATCAACAAGGCATTCAGTATGGAAGTCGACACATCTCGACAGTAAACAAAAAAAGAAAATCATTTACATATTCATAACATAAATTCCTACTCCGTCAGAATGTGTTTATCAAACAATGTTTGCGAAGCGCACCGACGAAGTGTCTCTTATGAAGATTTTATAACGTGTATCCTCACGATTTTACGATACTTGAGTCAGTGTTTGTATATATTCCTCGATCGCTTTGAAATACAATTGCGTGTCCCTCACGCTCATGAAATAATATCCTCAGCCATATAAGTAACATATTGCTTGTGTGCTGCAAAGTCGCTACACTTGTGGTCTTCTATGTGAGAGGTTAAATGTATTGATGAATGTCTTAACAGAGATGTTCACGAGATAACACATACCAAGTATCTACTTCATCATATGCGGCCCACTGGGATACACGCAACTGGCTGCTCAGTTATCCTGATGTACAATGGAGTTTGCAAAAGAAAGTTCCTCGAACTGGTATGTGAAGATCGCTCGATGACCAAAAGATTAGCATAGTCACAATTGTCCTCAGGCCGAGTGGTTTATTAAATCAATTTAACTTGTAAACTTACCTGCTGGAAATGTATCATAATTAGGAAAAATATATCCAGTAAAGTACTGGTCATGTTTAATCCATAATGTGCTTCCTTCTACATTGGTGCGATATTATTTCACCATTGTATATAACAGAAGAGATGTATTGTAAGATAAACGCCACAAAACGTTTACTGTAAACTGTGTATCTCATATACAATAGTGCAATAGGGTTGTCGTTTCTATAAATGCATAATGAACTACTGAAAAGTTGCAATTTGGCCATTCAGCTTTTATTCTCATAGTTGACCTATGGGACATTGAACGAGAGTTTGAGCCTCTTGGAACATCGGATATGGTGGTGGCTAGCGGTCTTCATCTAGAACCAGGGGCAACCTACAGAGCTGCTGTCAAGTTCTGTGTAGTGAATGTATGTTCTAAACCCATATACAGTGATGGCGTGACTGTCATAGCACATCCTCCAACACCAGGCAATATATCGCTGACGTATCGGGAATCTGACAGTGGACAAGCACAGGCAAGTTACATATTTCTTTCCAAGCGTTCCGTTTCTTTCCATCTGAATGTATTATGTTATTATGGTATTTATTGCATGGTGTTTTAGATCCAGGTGAAGATGGCTCGGTTCCGTGATCCTGATATAAAAGTATTACAAGAAGCTTATGACGTCATTGACAGATATGAGTGGGGTCTGACAGATGACAGTCACAACGACAAAATGTTGATAGACTGGCAGACAGTGGATGCTGATGCTATTGAAAGTGAGGCTGATGACAAGGTAAAATTGTTCATGGAATATTTATCTATTCTTTATACCTTTGATGCCTTTCCGATATCAGTGAACAAAATGGTATATGGGTTGGCTACCACTTTCTTCTTCTGTCTTCAGATAAGTTTCACTCTAAACCTGCCAAAACTGATTCGCTTTACCAAGTGCAGAAGAGTATCAGTCAGGGGCTACAACCACGTTGGTTTACATACAACGGTGTCAGCAGATGTCAAAGAATGTGCAGCATATAATCCTCCAAATATCGTGCCTGCAGTTGTCCTAGATGTTATCAGTAAGTGCGTAGTTACAATAAGTTTCAGGAAAATGTGTAGTCCCTCGTTAAATGTACGTTTTAAGGCTAGTGAACTGAATGTTCTGTCGATGAAACATCCCAGGGGTACATTTATGATTGATTACAGGAGCAAACAACGAAAATGCTGGTCAAGGAATAACCTTAGATCAGAATAGTCACTGGTATGATGCTGACTACACTCCCTACAAGAACATCCTGTCTGCTGTGTGGCCGACGCTACGTCACAGGAACTACACGTGGGCAGTTGTGGCAGGTGACCAGTTGGACCCCTCATCTCACTACAAGAGAGAGACTCTGATGACCGTCACTGACCCCTGTAGCATGCCGGATGTCATCAAGTGTGGACACACAGGTGAGTTAGTGTTTTAACAATTTTCGTAAAAACTTACGGTGTTGGCGTTCATAAAAGATGTCGCATTCATCCATGCCTTCATCTTTTCCTTTTTTCAAGTGAACGAGTTCATCAACGTGGAGTTTGCAGAGCTGTCCTACTAAGAACACGGCAGGAGATTTTATGTGTGCATCCATGCTGATGACAAAAACACTCGTTTTGAGAAGTGGACATCACATCTGACTGAAGTGAACGCCTGCAGTGACGGCATCACTGTCGACCTGACTCCACCTACACCGGGGACAGTGAACATCGAGAACCTCATAGACGGAACATTTCAGGTAAACTGAACTCTTTTAAATAATGTTCCCCTTGGTTTCGACAGCATATGAAGTAACTTGGTTGTTAGTGTGAGGTCAATGCTGAAACTACAGTAGAGCCATCGATTTGGGCAAGTACACTGATATTGATATATTTCTCATGTACAGGTTAGCAAAACAGAAGTTGCAATTAGCTGGACCGCTTTTGTTGATGTGGAAGAGGAAGGTTTCTCTGCTCATGCTGCTGGGATTGCCTTTTATGAAGTTGCAGTGGGTAATGAACTGAACAATTTGTTCATGCTGCTCTACCATATAACATATTCAATTTCTAATTCCTTGACAATTATCACTGTCTCAGGTAAATTTATGACATTCCTGATAGATAAATGTTTTCTACCTTCAGGTACTTTCCCTGGTGGACACGATGTTGTCATTTACACCCGTGTTGGATATGTAAACAAGTACATTCTACACAGGCTCAACCTGCATACTGGAAGTACATACTATGTCTTAGTGAGAGGTAAGCTGAAAGTCGATAAAGTTCAGCTTTGTTCATCTAAACTCCATGTTTTGGAAAACAGGGCCAGGTATACGTGACTGACTTAAATATGTGTTTATTGTGGCAGTTTTGAAACTTTCGTTCAAATCTAACAAAGGTGACATCAATGCATTTTTCAATGTCTTGGACACAGGATGAATACATCATGGGTATACATTCAACTTATGCTATGTTTTAAAATAAATGCTTCAGTTCTTAAGAAATGTCTTATCTCTTAATAATATTTCTTTCAGCCACAGATTTTGTGAAGAAGACAACAGTTGCTGTATCAGGGGGTTTCCTTGTCGACGCCACAACTCCAGTACTAACAGGGCAACACATTAACGTGGAGGGACGATACATTACATCACGTCTTATACATGTCTGGTAACGTTGAGAAAGTGGCATATGAGCTCGTTCAAATGTTTTCAAAGAAACCTTTGAAGGAAAAAAGGACAGGTTGATGCTAATATGTTGGGTTCTCGAACAAAATTAGCATCATTTACGAAAATATATTTCATAATATTTTTACCGACCTTGTTGAGTCAATAAATACATAGGCTGCATTTGTTCTTGATACAATACATGTTTTCAATTCTAAACACAAAATCTGTCAAGAACTAGAGATTACTGTACAACGGCAGCAATTTTCCACAACTCTGCATTTGTAGATAACGTACTGGCTTTCTTATTGAAGCTGACATGTCCAGTTCTGGTCGGATTAACGTTAAACATTCATATATAGCTGCCAAACTTGCTCGATCTATTAACACTGATTTCTTTTTCAGTTGATTGTATTACTATTCTTATGTGTTGAATTCTTTAACTAATTGTTTTATATGGGTAACATTCACAAATGTACAATACAGAATAATAAACTTTGTGTGCTAGGTATACTTCTAATGTATCCTCACATTAATTATCAAAATACAGTAGAACACGGATATAACGAACTCCAAGGGACCAAGAAATTTAGTTCGCTATATCCGTTGTTAGTTATTCACATTTGACCGCCATCTTGGATTGTAAAGATGTAGACATTCTCAGACATTACCTATATCATGTTGATAAATATGAAGTTTCTTTTTATAAAAAACTTGAAATAATACAACTACAACTTAAATACATTTATTTTTTAATGAAAATGCAAGCTTACATTTATAATGTCCAGATAAACCACGAAAGAAGCAAAAACTGTAGCGATCTTTTTTCCATTTGTGACATGTCATAACATGCCCGTGCCTTTTTCTTTTATATTTTCATTTTTATGTAATCAGGCTTTCCGTTCGTTAACATGACACAACAACGGGAAATACCTCCGTTTTCGAAGCTTCGTATGAATAACATGCGAGGCGAATCGTGTGGTGTCTGGTATCGTTCGACAGCTCTGGAACGTCAACAATATCACTGTACCCTTGCCGAGAGTATTTTCACAGTTGTAAAAAGCGATTTTATTGGATAAAGATTGGTTTCTAATGACGCTTTTTCGCCACAGTCTGCTATAAGGATCGCCATTGGTCAAAATCAGACACGTGACCTAAGGCAGCCAATCATACTAGGGCAATGGATACCGTCCTCGTCAACGAAAACTTTCGTTAAACACGATATGTTTGTTTTGTTAATTAATTAATGACCATCAAACAATGTTGATTCACCGCCAACAAGATTGATGTATACTGTACCGCTAAGTGGCTGAGCTGACACTGAGTGAGTTCGCTAATCATGTCGTTAATTGGGTCTTGGGGGTAGCAAATCAGTTCGCTATAGCCGTTAATTCGCTACTCACGAGTTCGTTATTCACGTATAATTTAGGTTTCAATATTTACTTTAGTGGTGGACAAAACATACACTGAAGTAGTCACACGACGTGTCTGATTTCATCTCCTGTTCAAGGCAAATGTTGATTGAGTAATATTCTACACTGGAAAATAAACGGCGTTGATATATTCCACAGCTGGAGGAACGTTTTCACAGACGAGGAAAGTGGAATAAAGTCATACAGCGTTGCTATGGGCACCAGACTTGCGTATGCTGATGTGTCGGAGTACATGATGACCGTTGAGGATTGTTTGGACATTGACACACTTAATAAAACAGAGGATGGTCACTCGTATTATATAACTGTGAAGGTAGCTTTGGACGTTTCTATCTTCTATTATTTCATGTGTACAAAAAATGATGACACATAATGATCCCCGAGTGTTAGTTCTTCCGTAGATCTCGATCGTTGAGGTAGCTGGGTTGTAGGAGTCTCGTCTGTCTCACTTAAACAGACAATCGTCTTTGATTTCAAGATTCAAATAATAATATAAACTTGTTTGTAATAAATAGAGAATGGTCTGAAGTCCTAACTTATGTCGGTCAATCTTATTGATGTCCTTCTTCCAGGCCATCAACGGTGCAGGTCTGTACACACTGTCCTCATCACGACCTCTGGTTGTGGACACCACGCCTCCATCTACTGGCCACGTCTATGACGGAGTACAGTCAGCTGCCTCACATGATGACAAAGACAAGGACTATATCACCAGTGTCTCAGAGATGGCAGCCTACTGGGAAGGCTTCGATGATCCTCATTCAAGTGTCGCCATTTACAAGGTCAAGGTCGGAACCTGCGCAGGATTTGACGACAAAATGAAAGAAGCCAAGACAGGGCTACATCAATGTGAGGATTGTTCATTGCTTTCTCGACTGTGCTTTTTTAAAATAATGTCAAGAAAAATATATCGATACAATTTAATTTCAGATATCAGCCTCCAGCACATCCTGCTCTCCCCTGGAGTGAAGTACTTCACCACAGTGACAGCCTGTAACACAGCAGGCCTCTGCAGCAGCTCCTCAACCTCAGACGGTGTGATCCTGGACAGCTCCCCACCAGTTCCTGGAACAGTGCAGGATGGCACAGGCGACGTGGACATACAGTTCCAGGCGACTAGGTGATAAGGAGTATTTGGTATTACAATAGAGTATCTAGTAGAAATGATTAAGTAGAACCAGTTCTATCTTGATGGAAATATCTTTAAATTACTTTGGAACTATGCAGTGTTTACAGAGAGTTGGTATTCTTTGCAGGACATTCATTGGTTGCAAGTGGCGAGGCTTTAGCGACCCTGAATCCGGATTAGATTACTATGAATGGCGTGTCGGAACAAAACCAGGAGCTGACGACATTCTCTCAGCCCGCACTGCAGCCTTGGGGGAGGTCATCTTCCACACCCTGCCACATGACCAA